AAACATGCTCACTGGAGAAAAACACACAAGGAAAAAAAAAAGTCAAGTGCTGTCAGCATTGGCTCTGACTTACCCCGGGTCGTGTTGCGAATCGTTAGGGCTTCCAGATGTGGCTTGGCTCCCGTCTCCCTCCATGACTAACCCAACTATGGCCAGTAACAAACAAACACACACACTGTCAGAGCTAAGAGAATATTACTGAGCCGGGAATGCGAGCGTCACACGTGGGATCAGCTCTGCCTGGCTCCCTCCCCCTCCCGTCACCCACACGGGGCGGAGCGCAGAAGGGGCTCGTCACCTCACCCATTCCATTGACGTCATTAGCATGGCCCCGCCCACCCGGTGCCCAGAGCATGAGGATCAGATCACATCGCATCACTTTTACTGTCACATCACCGTAGACACACAAGCGTAGCGGCAGCCTGAAGTCTACCGAACGTACAGTATTCACATTATACACTTGTAGAAATGAAGGACGTGGATGTAAACAATGCTATAGAAAGTTCTACAGAGAGTGATAGATACACTGATACATCTGAAGGTCCAGAGAAGCATTAGCAGTGCAGTGATATTTTTCTTAATAGTATTTTTTTCATTGCACCCCAAGATAGAGGAAATATTACATCACAGATAATATGAATAAGCACTGATTAATTTTTAATAGCCTACTTCTCCCCATAGAGAATTCATAACTTACCTTCCGTTTGTTTTGAGTTGCTCAAACATGTCCAAAAAGCAAGTAGGGTGTAAATTAATTTACAGACAGCCTTGTTTGATTAAATCAGTGGAGGATGTAATTTTTTCCCCCAAATCTTCTGGGTTTACAAATAACTGTTTTTGTTATTGTGAACTAAATATTAGATTGAGAAATCACATTTAAGTTGCAATCACATTTGTGCCATGCACTAATGACGAAATGATGTTACACACAATATAAAAATACATTTTCAAAACTTCAAAAAAGTTTTACAATACTAATTCAGTTTTTATACTTCAAAAATTCAAGTTTAATTCAATGTTACTTGCCATTTCCTTGTAACTGATTGAGACAATTACTAGCAATTTCTAAGTGAAAATTGTTTCAACGCCCATTTTTTCAGTATAATGTACAAAATACTATATACATAAAATAAGGTGATTAAATCTAACAGCAATAAACACCTAGTCACTGACCAAAGAAAACATACTTTGAACATAAGCACATCATAAATCGATATTTCTCAAGCACTCATGCAAATATTATGTATGATTATTGTTTTCCACTGCTGTGTATACTAGTGACTGTACAGAATACACCTCATTTGGTGACACCCATCTGTCACGTTGAGACGTTCAACTCGAAATATCTGAGCTATCACACACCGCCTGAGGGTCTGTGCACCCCTTGACTTCTGCAAAATGCAGTTTTACACAACAATTAATGGTCTTTAAAATGCACAAAAGGTTAAGGGATCTTGTGCTTATTATCCATGGAGAGGGGGAAGAGAGAAAAGTAAATAGAGAGAGGGGGGCTCAATTAAGGCTGCCTGCTCAGTGGATTTTCAGTCACGCTACAGTGATTGCTGTTTATTTCCTGCAGCTCTGTTTGAGAGAGGCTCCGTGGCCCAAAGACACCACATCATTCTTCTTTTTTTCCCCTCTATACCTATACCAAATCATATTTCCTCTTCTCGCCCCTCCTGCTAAAGATAGCTTCTGAACAACAGTCAGAACTCTTGAAGTAAAGAGCCCACATAAAGCCAGTGTCCAGAGGAGGGAGGCTGAGATGCTCTTGATTGGCAGGTGAACCCACTGTCTCACCTCACTGCCTAACAGGCAGCTTGTTGGTAAACTGACACACAGGTACCTGTGGGGCACAACCCAGAAAACGAAACATCTCTCTCCCCTCTCAGTTTATTCTCTCTCGGGCTTTGAGCAAGACAAGACCACCGTTTTTAAAAAGAAAAAAAAGATAAACAATGTGTCAAAAATACTTTTGTTTTCAATGTAAAAGTTTTTATTGACATTACTCATTCTAATAAGTATTAATAATAATCATTATCAGCTGAAATTGAGCTCCCTTCTGCTCTTCGCCCGAAATGTCATTTCTGTTCAGTTCAAATATGCATCACCACTGCTGTTCCATTTCATCGTAATTCAATACGTAATTAAATTTCTGATAGGCTTTGGCAGAACATTTTACAGGGTATTTAAGATAATCGAAATGACATAATTTCATAATAGGATTTGATAAGCATAAAGGTAGGCAAAATAGTTTATTCAGCACAGTTGCCTTTCATTCTGGAAGAAAGTACAAAATACCATTTAATCTGACCACCTGAAAGCATGTTGTGTTTTATGTCTTGTCATTTCTCTGGCATTACAATGAGGCGCGAAGCCAGATCTTCACAACTGGGCCGTCAAAGGGGGCTGTTTTTAGAATCATGGCTCATTGAGATTTGGCATAATTGAACAGGAAATTACTGTTTGGAGCAAGGTTTTAAATATCTACATGATGTCCCGAGTGTTTCATAGCATATAAGCCTTAAAGAGCATTTAGGGATATGTTTATTGTGAGGTCAAACGTTTACTGGTTCATTAAAGAACACTGTGGACCTCATTAGACCTTTTATTAGTGTATCATTTACTTGTTAGAATTGTATTACCAGTAGCAGAATTAACTCAAAACGTTTTTGCCACCTTTAATTGTCTGATCGCACAAAAAACTAATCTATTCATGTACATTTCGCCGCGTAGATTAGCCATAAAATCATCTACATAATAAGCACACCGCTGCCATGAGACGAGGCATCATACGCTTATGAATTTTACCATTCACCATATGCATATTCATGTTGCTTGTGACATAAACAGAGACACGGCTGTCGGGTTTGATGAAATGAAATTGAAATTAAACTTTAAAAGAAACACACATCAAGAGGATATTTAAATATACACATTTGCATTCGCCGGTTTTGAAGGCACGCTTTATTAATGCCGCAACCCTCGCCATTATTAAGTTAAATCTAATGTCTCTGGAAATCCATTAAGTCTTCAAAACAGCAGAGAAAGACGTCAGAACTGAAGACCCTTATTAAAGACTAGACTAAGTGCACAACACAGATCTGTCCAATTAGAGCCTGTGCATTTTGCAATTAGAGAGAAAAATGTAATGTGCCAAACATTGCCTAAAATGGCCAATTTGACAATGGAGTTAGAAAATATCTGCTCAGATCTTTAAATGGATAATTAGAGAGATAATACTTCATGTTTAAGAAACAGTTTTAATGGAGGTTGAAATAATAAAGAATCGAGTCTCATCACGTTGTCGCTTTTCAAAGCAGCGTTCTAGTTCTTATAAATGATTATAAAAATTCTTGAATTTGATACATTTTCGAAACCCAGGATTACCACTATTCAAAAATTAAGAACTATATAGAACGTCTTGCCATTTTGGCAATAAAAACCCTTGTTTTGTCATTCTGAATGGTACAAATATAGTCACTATTTAAAATGGCAACCCTTTCTTGCCATTGTGAAGAGAATATATTTTATAGAAGTATTTTTAGGGGGGTCAAAAAATGAAAATAACCTACAGAGACAACCCATTTTATGGCTGTTAATTTCTAATTGTCTGGTCCACTGTTCCTTTCTGTTTTAATCGGTAAATGTTACACATTCCTGATTATTCTGATTACTTCATTTGATTATTAAAATGTAATTCCTGAGAATTCCAATTACCTCACTGGGTGAGTTTAAATTTGAACTTTGCATTTAGAGCATTTCTTTTATTTATTTATTTTTTGTTAAGCATTTATAACTAAAACTGTTCTGAAATCAACAAGTGATACTAGTTTACCTTTTCTAAATTTCTAATTTAGTCTGTGTGGATTTAAATACAGTTTCTTATTATAAATCACACATTTAACTCAAAAAGCCTAAAATGATTTAAATCACTAAGACTAATTGGGAAAAGGATGAATTAAAACACCATTTTGTCCCTTGAAGCAAATCAAATCCGGCTCAAAAGACCCAAGAATCAATATAGAGATTATCAATCGTGTTACTGACATGGTCAGTATGTGAACTGCAAATAAATCAATAGTCCTGTCACATCATCTCTAAATGAGCATTGAGCACTTCCTCAATCTCGTTATCTGATGTGCATTATCCTGTCACATGAATTGCTGTTTCTTATCACATCCAAACATCCATTTCTGTTTTATTTCCCTGCACACATTGTTCCACAAACAACATTTGGCTGTTGCTTTATTTACAGAAATGTTGGTTCGACAAATCTGTCATATTTTCACAAGCCCAATATAGCATTTGAGCTATTGTGCCCGTCTGTATTATGAGATGCCCACAGCTAATGCTCCGACAGAATCAGTTAGGCCATGTGCAATTCACTATATTCCAATTCAAATCTGGATCTTTCCTCTTTTATCCACACCTGTGCACATCAAGGAATGTAACAAAAAAGGCCACTCAGAAAAGATGTTAGCGCTCATTCTAATGATCTGCCATCAAAGTTATTGGCACACGCTACAAAGCAGACGCTCTATTCATCAGCCGCTCGAGAAGCTACGCACAAACAGAGGCCGTGCTGTACGCGCGAGTTCACATCAGTGCCGAGCAGATGGTGTCAGTATAAGGAGAGCTGCTGAGGGCCCTTTACACGCTTTTATGTGAACCTTCATTTACTTAACTCGATGTCTTCAAGTGTCTGTCTTTTCGTCGCACGCCACTGTTCCTCACAGATTCTGCTGAGAATGCCATGCAGAGACCAAATGTCATAATTTGCTTTGCATACATAATGTGGCTGAAAAATAAATAAATAAATAAAATATATATATTTTTTTGTTGTTGTTGTTGTTCTGCATTTGAGACAAACTGTGGAATTTGAATGTGCACACCTATTTTTTTTTCTTTTTTTTTTGCTTTACATAGAAACATTTCAAACCAACATCATTTATTTTGAATAAAACACTTTTCAAGCAAAACTTTTCACAAAAAGAGATTTGCAAGGTTTTAAATTATAAAACAATGGATATGTTTATAAAAATGGTTTTCCAGGTGCTCAAAACAGTGGCCTCAAAAATATTCTGACACTTGAAATGAATGCAATTAGTAACAAATAACGCACATCTGGAAAAAAAAAATAATAATAATAATAATAATAATTCTCTTTCCATAACTAAATCCACGAACTTATAAACATTTTTACCATTTTTATAAACATATCCATTGTTTTATAATTTAAAACCTTGCAAATCTCTTTTTGTGAAAAGGTTTGGTCGAAAAGTG